CTTGCAAAGAACCATTTCGGGTCTTAATTGATTGATCACGCTTAAGGTGGCTTTCAGACCGCATCCATTATTTTTCGTCTCCCCCCTGCTCTTTTCCGAACACAGATGGACTCGTCCATCTGAACAAACTGTCAAATCGCTCTCCGTGGTGCTAACGTTAAAAACCCGCTACTTTTTTTCAAATTTTCTTGTTGTGGTTTTCACACCTGATGATGATTGCTTGTGTTGCAGTCGAAACGTCGTGAGAATTTTATTGTTTTATATTTTTATTATTTTATTGTTTACCTTCTACGTGACTTTACCGAAAGAACCAATAATATGAATCCCTGCAGTCACGAAAGCTTTAAATCAAAAGCATGTATACGTTGCATGTTTAACTATGGCATTGTTTAGTTGGCACTCCGTGGTGACAGGATGCTTCCTCGCCTGGTATACAAGTGAGCCGTGGGTTCGATCCCAACCCTGACACCCCATGGTCACGTGGATGGGTTCGATCCCGACCCTGACACCCCATGGTCACGTGGATGGGTTCGATCCCGACCCTGACACTCCAATGGTCACGTGGATTCTCTCCAGGTCCTCTGGTTTCATCCTCCACGTTTAGAAAGATGCGTTTAGATTATTTGGCTGCTACTAAAAATTCCCACGTATGATATAAGCCACGAACACGTGTGGCCTGGTCGCTTCTGAAAAAGAGCTAATAGTTCAGGGAGTTTTATCTGGTAATTAAAAGTTTTTTTAATATATGTATGAGCTACAGAAAAATAAAGCCTGATGATACGATAGGAATATATCCCAACACAATAATTATTGATACATCCAGAATGAGAATGTTCTACAATATGCACTGAACAAGCAAGAACACGAAAAAATATATATACACAATTATTTGACTGAAGATGCATCCTTATTACCATTCAGAAATTACCTCAAAGTGTGTACAGCAAACAATGAATCTGTACAGGTACTAAGCAAGCAGTGGATAGACTCAATTGGTTGTGACCGTGCAAAACTCGGCTCGGAGTGGCCTGAGAATTCAAATAAATAAACACGTCAGTGGGGACGAATCTGGGTGGCTTCGGGGTTAGAGGACTGAGCTGGCATCGCTGAGATCCTGAGTCTGCAATCCAGCTTTCAGCCACCTATTATTAAATCAAATTATCGAGTACAGCCAGTTGATTGTCAGTCCAGTCACTAATGATTGCATACAATAACATCGAATGTGGTTTTCTACATTACTTGGCAAACTTTCCACTCAAAGAATAAAACAGTGGTTTGGCTGCCCCATGCATTGAACATCTTAACGTTGCATGGCAGTTGGGAAAATGCAGCTAGCCCACTTAGTCTGGATACAAGGAATCTCTTGAATAACTGTATTTCGATAACATCTGATTCCACGGGCAGTGACTCTGTCATAGCTCCGAATGGACGCTTCTTTTTCATGACATGGTGTCATAGCATAGGGGCCGTCCATAAATGACGTCACGCACCTAGGGGGGGGGGGGTGTCAGACATTTGTGACGAGGGGGGGGTTGAGAAATGTGACGTCACATCAAAATGCACAACTTTAAATAAATATAGACAACACGTTCTATTTAATTAAATATACTTTTTAATAAATGTTTCTCCTACAACATCAGAGTGCAGCGCCACATTAAATACGCACTACAATAACAATAGTTTAAAGCGATTTGAAGCATGTTTTATTTATTTTTTTGGGGGGGGGGCAGAGCTTTGTGACGTCATATTTGAGGGGGGGTCTGAATTTTTGTGACGCCGTGTGACGAAGGGGGGGGGGTCAAAAATCGTCAAAAATCGCGTGACGTCATTCATGGACGCTCCCAAAACTGAAAAAAAACATCAAAATAGAATCCGGAGAAAGGACAACGAATCAGCAAGCGCAGCGGTCGGCGCTCAACGCTTGGCGGTCACAGGGTCCTGCTGCGTCTCTGCGCCGCGTGGAAGGAGGGGAGGAGGATGCAGGTAGGATATGGAAGCGTAATTAGCGTTAAGACCCTGCGTCAAATTGCACTGCTGACTTGGGGCACGCTGCTGCCACGGGTGCGTGGTGAGCAAATCAGATATCAGAGAACAATCTCCCACTATCTCCCGCCGGACACCACACCACAACGACATTCAATCGCCTGTCATCCAACGAGCAATATTGAACTGGGAGGGGGGGCACAGTGAAGGTACCAGCGTGGCTTAAATCCACCCCGTTACCCCCTAATAACAGCCAGCCTTGCTGCTGGCAATGGTTTCCATGCTCGCTGGCTATGAGGTGGCACACATTAATCTCAGAGAGGGGCTAAATGTCAGCCAGGCGGCACGGAGGCTGCATAGAGAGGACTTCTGAATTATTTGCAGAGGATCCAGTGGCTGACTAAATGATTCGATTGCAAACGATATCTTTACACGTATGAGGGAAGATAAAGCATGTAAGTAGACACTTCCTTGGGTTGTGTGGATAAATTACTTTTTGCCAAGGAAGCGACATTTACATTTAAGATACATTGGACAAAGGTGTGCACGACATGTATGATCAAATATAGCAGAATAAGGTGGACGTACAGCTCAGCCACAAGAACGTCGTTCATTTAATGCTATATATATCTCTCTCAGGTCAACCCCACAAATAGGTACTAATTTTATCGACCCCCCATATATTGATGGTGTGCTATGAAGAAGGGCGATTGCCCAAAACGTTGCCTATCATATATTTTTTCCCCTTTTAAGGCAGTGTTCGTGACAACCATGTCGAAGTTTGCCCATAGAATGATGGGCTGAGTTGACCCGTGACTAGAATGTGAACTTGCTTTCCGAGATTTTGAGTTAAGCATCCTAACCAGAGGCACCTGGCGTATATTGTTAGATTTATATTCTACGAATGTGTTTTAGGCTTTCAGATTCATGTGAACATTTAGGAAATCCAGCCTGGATATTATATTATTTGGATAATGCAGATTTTTCGTTTGTTTATGTTTTATCTGAAAATGTGACTGCACTAGAAGTGATATCACTGCCATAGAATCACTTGTGGCTTTACTGCCAAAAGTACTGCGACGAGGCAGAATATTGATCATGCGATGTGACTTTTACTTAAAGCGTTAATATTAAAAAAATTACATTAAAATGACTGTTTTACTGACAGAACTCTAAGCTTAAACTTTTATAGCGATTCTTAAGAGATTACATTTTAGTGCATAAACAATTAAAGGCGTCAACATTTGATACATTTAAATATTAAAATACAAAAAAAAGCTTTGGCCAAATAACATGAAAATCCAATATCAACATAATGTAATCCTTAAAACTCATTCCTAATACATTCTCACACAAGTCTAAAATAAACTAATTTATTGAGCTTTTTCCTATTGAACAAAGTTGTGAAATACAACAAGTAGCGTGGCGAATGATCCACATTATTGTGGAGTGCCTGGAGTCTGCCACAAAATCAATACAACCTCATTGCGTTTACTTTGCTTCACTGAAGCCAGGCCTCTAATACTTGTGTTGCGGAGCGCGTGTGCAGCGTCGTGGCACACAGACTGAGCGGCAAACACTCCATTTGGCCAGTCATAACAATCTTAACAACAATCCTTGCAGCGGCTTTTGGCTGGCCATCCAACAAAGACGGCCGCTGCGTCGCGCGCTTTCAGAGGCGCTTCTGCGGCCGTCCGGAGGGCTCTTCCTTCCCATATTAGGAAGCCACTGGAGCGATGCACTTTTAAATCTATATTGAAAAGTCATTTCTTTAAAAATGCTTTTTTGTGTTTAGTTTTGCCGTCCTTCCACCACACCTCCGATTAACACGGTTGGCTGCGTATGGTGCGAAAACAAGTTAGACTATGCATACATAACGCGAACTGAACGATACTTATTCAGCCAATCTCGATCTACTGCCATATCAAGGCCTTCCCATGCTCATCTTGATTTGCACCTAGGTGAAGCTCAGCTCCTTGCGGCACTTGATTTCTCGACTGCATTTCCCTTTTGATGATCCCACAAAGTGAGTTTCCACTATCTGCAGCCACGCCACTGAGTTTTAACCACCAATCGCCACTGCTTTTCGCGTAGCATCCCGCGCCGGTGCCTTTCTTTAGTCAAACGCTGCGTTCAAATGAGGCAGATTCTTGTTTGTTCTACAATCGCGCTTTAGTCTCTTGGAGTAATAAAAAAAGCGTCTCATATTTGAAGTTTCCTGCTCAATTGCGCATGGTGAGTGAGAGAGAGGGGGGTTGCTCATCTCCTGTCTATGGGCTTGAGCCAGCAGTGGTGGAGGTTGAGTGGCGAGGATGAGGTCAACTGTTAACCATTAACTTCCCCACATAGTGGTTACCTCTTTTGATGATCCTCCGAGGGATGTCCGACGAGGTATTTTATAAGAAGTAAAAATGCCGCTTACGAGTGACCACACTCGACCACAGATTCCTCATCACTTCAAAAGACAAGGATCCTCCATCTAGCCTTCATAGACTGTGAGGGCAAGTGTTGTTAGCGAGCACATATAAAGGCCAGCACAGCGCACGAAGGGAATGGGTGGCCAGCACCACGCCTGCCCGGCCACCTTTGTCTCCTTAGGTGACGATGTTTACACAATCTCACGAGGTTCATATTTGAGGCTGAGCCGACGTAGGGGAGGCCCAGGACAGGTTTAGATCATTAATCGGCACTGGTGTTAGTGCCTGTTGAGCGGGAATCAAACTACAGTGCGTGTATTAACGTACATAAATTGAGCTGCATAAACGTGTACAAGAACGGAAGAAAATATATTTTTGTTACAACAAAAAACCGTGCATCTTTGTCTTCGTGCAAGGTTACCTATGGATCATCCACACGGCAAGGGGTGATGGGGAACCACTTGCTCCCTGCCCGCACGAACATGAGCAAATTTGACCAATGTAGGACCTTGCAGAGTCACCACATTATCCCCTGCAGAGCCTCCTGGCCGCAGATTCCACATCTCCCCCCCAACCCGTAACGCTCTCCCCACTACTCACCCCTTGCACACGCCAGGGAAACCAATGTGCTGCTCCTCCCTTTGCTCGTCAGTCTCGGCGCCGATAAAAGGCACTTGCACGCAGGCAGCCATCCCAGCTTTGAAAGCACCAATCTGTTCCCAGGTGCTCCATTTCATCTCAAATCCACGTACAGCCGGGGCTTGCGCAGCCACTCACCTCTGGCCTAATGTGATCACGGAAATTAACCCCGCACGGACACAGCATCGCTCCGCGATGCCTGCGCCCGATTTTTGGAGCTGTCAGACGCGAGAGTAGAATAAAAAAACAAATTTAGAGGCCACAAATATTACACGGGAGTGCCAAACATGATTGCCTTTTGCCTCCTGACACATCTGTACGGAAAGCAGACCTTTCGTTACTTTTAAGACTCATGCTCAGGATTAAACGAAGGTTCTGAAAAACGAATTAAAGAAAAAAAGTGTGTAATGAGCTAAGAATGCTACAAGTCCATCGCGATGATGCCTGTTTAGAGAAATGGGAATTGAGCAATTGCAAACGTGATAAATGGATTGCTGCGTCTCTCCTTTTGACTACCCTGAGACACTTTGCATGGTAATGTAATATGTTGTATGTAACTAAACCTCCCAGGACAGGAGACAAAGCCATTTAAAAGAAAAAGGTGATGGGGTGGCAGAGTCAGGCAATCTTCTTTTTATTTTTTTTACCCGTTGGCTTAAAAATTACTTTCAGAGGTATTTCTTCTTGAAAGAGACACATTTCTCTCTGACAGTGGCCCATAAATTCTGCAGTGGACCTTTGTGGAACGACAATACAGACATTCTTAAGGGTGGACCAAAACTTGTATTTCACAGTCATGTGTAGTCAGTTTGATAAGTACCTTGACTGATCTTGTGGCAGAACAATTTCCGCGAAAGGGCAGAATAAAGGGAAGGTGATAGCATGCTTTGTCTATTATTTATTGAACTGCTTGTGTGCCTGCTTATCATTTACTTATTTAATTTGCCCGAGCTAGAGATCATGTCGATTTTCTAATTTTCTGTTTACCATTGGTTTCACTTTGTTTGAATGGTTTTAAGTCGATTTTTTTTTGTTTAGGTTTACCAACATTATATATATTTAAAGTTAACTAAGATTGTATTTATAACAAAATATTTCTGTACAGCCATTCATATGCAATACATGACAAACATGTAGAATAGGTACATATTGTTACATTATTACTGCTATTGTAATTGTTTTGGCATTTTTTGTCTATTTTAAGATCTATATATATTTTTAATCATTTTATTTTTTTCATAATGTGCAGAGGCAGATTAAATATTTAATGAAGCATCACAATGTATACGCTCCAGAACTCACCTCTTATCACACGAGATTCATTTTATCGTCAGACAAATAAAAGTGCCTGAAAAAACATAAAAGATCTCTGCTGCTTGAGAAACAAGTGTATGCACAGCATTAATGAAATCAAGGAATAGTGACTTCAAGAGTTATTATCCACGGCTTTAAAGGAACCACAACCCAGCAAAAACATAGTAGTGTGTTTCGTCAACATGTGTTACATTTCCTCCAGTTGTCTCAGCATTTTTTAAAAGTGCGACTAAAATTGTAAATCAATAAACTTTGAACAAGAAGAATGCACTACTCAATGTTACTGTTCCCGCTGCCAGACCTTTCACCAGACCCTGCTGCGAATGTCTTAGCCGGAGGCAGGGTCGCGCACACTCTGCAAAGACAAAGTTCCCCCCGTATAGCCTGAACAGACTGTTGGGGCAAGTGCTGTCAGAAAATACCGATGAAGGTCGGCAAGGGACTCGAGGTGGTACGTGTTAGCACCACTTCCGGCTGCTGTTCGTCTCCCTCGTGGTCATGTTTACACAATCGCGCCAGGTACTTCATTTGAGGCCAAATCGACCTCGGGAAGGACCAGGACTGGTAGATAACATCGTTACTTGTGATGGTCATGAGCGAGAATCGAACTTTGATCGCTGCGTTCGTGGTGCACCACACTGGCCACTAAACTACCACTCCCCAAACAAAAAAAAACACTCGCAATGTGGCTCATGAGAAAGAAAAACAGATCACAGATAACCTCCGCCACTACTCCACGTGCCTCACACTCTGTGTACTGGCTCGAAAGCACCAGCTGCTCCTCCGCCCGTCTGGCAAATTAAAATAAGTTTACGTGCTGCCGTAGCTCCAGTATTTTGTCTTCCTGGTACATTGTGTATTCTGCTATAAAATCTCACCGTTAAACAGGTACAAGTACAATACAAACTTGATTTGAAGCTTTCGTGACTGCAGGAATTACACTTTGGTTCTTTCGGTAAAGTCAGGTAGAAAGAAAGTAAATAAAATAATAGAATACGACGTTTCGATTGCAACACAAGCAACCGTCATCAGGTGTGAATGAATGAGAAAACAAACATGGAAATATAATGCTATACAACACAGAGAGTCGGCTAACACAACAGTCAACACCCTACCTGGTTGATTACGTTCTTCCAAAGATTTGCTGCTCGCTAACAGCAGCACTTGCCACAAACGTCTGTAAAAGCTATACGGGCGGGGGGTGGTTGTCTTTGTATGCAGTATGTATAAATACACCTATATATTAATATACACACAGATTAATGATCAACATTTAGAAATGACAACTGCACAAGATAATAACGTTAGTCTATAGCAGCTGTGGTAGCACCTTGTCCTTTGTGATACATGGTTGTGCAGCACTTTTGCGTAACCCCCTGCAGTAAAATATACAGCGACCCACATTGTAATCTACCACACTGTCATTATAAATGATGTTGCAACAGCAGGTTGTGAATATTGCTTCTCGAAATCCGCAATACACGTTCTCAGGGAAATGTGTCTCCTAAAAATATTTTGTTTTCCAAAATCCAAGCCATATTTGTACATGTGGCAGTCTTGTCTCATAAACATAATTTTAATTTAAAAAAATGTACAGCCATTGATGAAGGCCTATCCCCTTCTGTGTCAATTGTGGGGTTATTTAACCATACTTCACCACATTGTATGGGAAGGCAAAGCATTGAGGGGGTGGGCAGGACTGTTTCAGATTTATCGCTGATGTCAGCCATGGCTGGGAATCAAACTCAGGGCAGTGTCCTCACCAATATGTCACTGCTCCTCCAAAACAAAAACGCATTTGTTTTGTTAATGAAATAAGACTATTTCTCCAAAAATGTTTACCATAATAAAATGTTAGATGTAGTGGAGTAGGAAGGTGCGTAGTGGAAACAGCGTGATTACGTGATGACACAAACAGTACGGGTTATGTTGGGTCAGCCTGTAGCGAAGGCAAATAAAGTACAGGTTATGTGAGGGCAATTAAGCTGGGAGAGCCCAGGACGGCTGTGATTGGTTGGTGCTGTTGCCAAGGCTGGAGGGGCGTCTTGAAGTCTGGCGAGGTACAGGTGTAGGGTCACGCGTAATTGGGGAGTAATGAGAGCGGGGATAAATTGGGGGGTCGGCAATTGGAGCGGGGAGTTGAAGTTGGAGAGCTTGGAGTGAACAGGGGGAATTGAAGTTGGAGTCAACAGCGGGGAGTTGAAGTTGGAGAGCTTGGAGTGAACAGGGGGAATTGAAGTTGGAGTCAACAGCGGGGAATTGAAGTGTGGAGAGCTTGGAGTGAACAGGGAGAATTGAAGTTGGAGTCAACAGTGGGGGAATTGAAGTGTGGAGAGCTTGGAGTGAACAGGGGGAATTGAAGTTGGAGCCAACAGCGGGGAATTAAAGTGTGGAGAGCTTGGAGACAGAGAGTTGGAGGGACAGAGTTTAGGGGAGACGGAGTTGGAGACGGAGCTCGGAAACAGCGTAGCGATAGCGGAGCTTAAAAAAAGAAGCAGCCAGCAGTGGAGAGAGCATAGCAAAAGCGGAGCTGAACAGAGACGAAGCAGTTAGCAGTGGAGAGAGCGTAGCGACGGTGATAGCGGAGAGCGGAGACGGAAAAGTTAGCAGCGGAGTAAGCGCAGTGATAGTGGGGAGTGGAGAGACAAAGGTGGCGAGCGAGTCGAGTGACGCATGGCGAGCGAGCTGTGGCGACATGGATGTTGTGAAGTATTGAGGACATGCGGAGAGTTGTAAATAAAGCGGTGTTCGAAGAAAGACAAAAGTTGTCCGAGTGAAATTGAACACTACACAAACACTGAACATTTTAAGGCTATATATGAAGCCCATATATTTAAATCATACGCTTAAAAAATTACCTTAATCACAATAATCGCATGTTCCAATGCGGACTTGAACACTTAAACATCGACCTGCCTCTAATGTTTCCACCAAGCATGACTAAAATTTCGATTTAAAGCTTTCGTGACTGCAATGATTCATCTTCTTTGGTTCTTTCGGTAAAGTCACGTAGAATGAGAATAAAATAATAAATTGATAAAATAAAATAACACAATAATATTCTCACGACGTTTCGGCCACAACACAAGCGGCCTTCATCAGGTGAAGGGACGAGACTGTCTGGTAGGACAGCGCTGGAGTGAAAGAGCCACGTTCAGATCACGCCCTTTAAGCCTCAACTTTAGCACCACGGATAGCTACGGGCCCCGTTCAGATGGACGAGTTCATCCATGGTCGGAACAGAGGAGGGGGAGAGAGACAGCTGCGAGGCGCTATTATACTCCATGTTGTAAACCATACCATTAACCGTGGTGTGAGAGGTATTAAGAGTCAATGCTGGCGAAAGAGCTGCGGTCTGAAGGTCATCGTAAAATACAATTAATTAAGAACAGAAATGATTTAAAACATCTTTCCATTGGTTACTAAGCCAGAATCCATCTTCTCGGTTGAAATTGTCTCTGTGTTTGTATATGTGAATGGCCTCATGAGCGAATCTCTCATGGTAGCCGGTTGGTTTGCAAAGAACCTCCGTCTTGGAGAAGTCAATGTCATGTGAGCCCACAGAATTATAACAGTGATCTGCCACGGCAGAGGAGTTCGTCCTACCGTGTTTCAAGTCTGCTTTATGTTCGCGGATGCGGTCCGAGATATGCCGTTTGGTTTCTCCACGTACACCAGGCTCTCAGGGCTAATGGTTACTCCGACTACACAATCTGCAAAGCCATCACTCCAGTCATGAAGAAGGATCCTCTTATTCTTAGTTTTTTCGGTAAAGTCACGTTGAAGAGAAACAACAAAATAACAAAATATATATAAAACAATAAAAAATTCTCACGACGTTTCGACCATAACTCAAACGGTCATCATCAGGTGTGTCGGTTTGCATAAATGTATTTTGAAAACGGCATATTTATTTATATATATAAAAATAACGTTTGCGTCACGCGCAACGATGGCAGTTTGCCAGGACTAGTCCATCTATTTTTTGAAAAGAGGAGGGGGGAGACGAAATTTGTTTTTATGTATGCTGTCTGAAAGGCACTGTAAGCGTGAACAATCAATCAGGAACTGAAATGATTTATCAAATCTTTCCAATGATTGCTAAGATAGAATCCATCTTCTCGGTTGAAATTGTCTCTGTGTTTGTATATGTGGATAGCCTCATGAACGAATCTCTCATGGAAGCCAGATGGCTTACAAAGAACCTCCGTCTTGGAAAAGTCAATGGCATGTGAGCCTACTGAATTAGAACAATGATCTGCTACGGCCGAGGTGTTGGTCCTACCGTGTTTAAGGTCTGCTTTATGTTCACGAATGCGGTCCGAGATATGGCGTTTGGTTTCTCCAATGTAACTACTACCACAGAGGCAACTTAGTTTGTAGACACCAGGGTATTGTATGTCCGGAATCACATCTTTTACAGACGGAACCAGATCACGGATTTTATGTAATGTGTTGAAACGGACCTGGATCTTGTGTTTATTCAGGATTTTGGAGATCTTTTTTGTGATCCCAGCAATGTAGGGTAAAGTGATGGTTTTGAAAGGCTCCTCAAGAGGGTTCTTCTTCATGGTTTGAGTGATAGCTTTGCGGATTGTATAGTCGGAGTAACCATTAGCCCTAAGAGCTTGGTGTACGTGCTTGAGTTCACTGCTTATGTGTTCCTGGTCGGATATGCATTGGGCTCTATGATACAGAGTCTTGATGAGAGAATTCTTCTGTGATGGATGGTGGTGGGAATCCGGTTTCAGATAAGCATCCGTATGGGTAGCTTTCCTGTAGACAGAGTGGCTCATTGAACCATCAGGTCTCTTTTTAATTAGGACATCCAAAAAAGGTATCTTGCCATCTATTTCGACTTCCATGGTAAATCTGATGGCTGGGTGTATGGAATTGATGTGGTCGAAGAATTTGTCTAGAGCAGGCCGGCCATGTGGCCAGATGACAAAAGTGTCATCCACGTACCTCTTCCATAAGGTTGGGCGCAGAGTGGCAGTCTGGATGGCGTCAGTCTCAAATTTCTCCATGAAAATGTTAGCTATAACTGGAGAAAGGGGGGAGCCCATTGGGGTGCCCTCAGTTTGTTTGTAGAAAGTTCCATTCCAAGTGAAGTATGTATTGGTTAAACAGTGTCTCACCAGGGGGGGTACCTCAGTGTTTAGTCCTTGATGAACCAAGTCTTCAATGATTGCAATGGTGTCAGGTACAGGAACCTTGGTGAATAAGGAAACTACATCAAAACTGACAAGCAGGTCGTCTGGGGACAGGAAAATACCCTTGATTGTTGATACCAGGTGAGTAGAATTTTGTACCGCAGAGGTGGTCTTTCCAGTGAAAGGACGCAGGATTTCAGACAAAAAACGAGCTAGTTTGTAGGTGGGGGAGCTGATAGTAGAGACTATGGGACGAAGAGGTGTATCAACTTTATGTATTTTTGGTAAGCCGTATAATCTTGGTGGCCTGGCAGCAGAAGGTTTCAACGAAAACTGTTTAGATTGATCAATTAATGCGGTTGAATCAGAAATTATTTTGTTGGTTTGTGTGACGAGGCTGTTGGTGGGATCTCTTTTTATTTTTGTATAACTACCATCGTCGAGTAATTCTTTAATTTTGTTGTTGTATTCTATTTTATCCATGATAACAGTAGCATTGCCTTTGTCAGCTGAGAGAACTACAATATCATTCCTCTTTTTTAATTTATATAATTCAAAACGCTCATCTTTGCTGAGGTTGCTAGCTGGCATCTTAGCGTTTTTGAGGGTTGCAGCGATTTCAGATCTTGCTACGTCTGCAGCGATGTGACCCAGGCCCCTGAGAGCAACGTCTACTTGGGCAATTATATCATTAACTGGTATGTGTTTAGGTGTGACTGCAAAGTTTAGACCTTTAGCTAAAACGGATTTCAGACCATCGGAAATAGAACTGTTACTGCGATTAATTACGACTTTATTAACGTCTAACTTTTTGGTGTGTGGGTCCGGTCTTTTGTTTAAGAGGAGGTTAAATTTGGAAATCAGGTTTTTCT